TTCTAAATTTCAAATTCTTACGAATTAAATATTTTCTGGAACAGTTTTTATTTGTGACAGTTTTTCAGCATAATAATTGATGAACAACCGCAATATATTTAAAAATCATACAACCCATACCATTATATAAGGCAAAGTTGCATATTTTTCTTTTCTTTTTTATAAAAGTCTCTTTTTTTATAATTCCATGTGAATGGAGGCTGCAGTGCACCCAGCCAAGCGATATATATGTATAACAAATGAAAAGCTAAATGTATGTATTACATTGTGTAAAAGGTGTATGATTTGATACAATATTTCTATGTTTACAGTTATGACAATTTAACCCTTCACTCTGCCACCTGTGTATACACAACTGCCAGTGTATGATTACATTGTTACATAGCTGAAAAGAGACTTGCGTCCATCAAGTTCAGCCTTCCTCACATACACTTCCAAGGAAAAGGATGTGAACACTTTGGAATGATATGGATTTCTGCACAAATTGGTCATAAAATGTGATCTGATCATCATCTAAATCACAACAATAGACAATCACAGTCTGCTTAAACTAATAACACACAAAGAATGAAATGTTGCTATGTTTTTATTGAACACACCATGTAAACATTCACAGTGCAGGTGGAAAAGTATGTGAACCCCTTGACTAATGACATCTCCAAGAGCTAATTGGAGTGAGATGTCAGCCAACTGGAGTCCAATCAATGAGATGAGATTGGAGGTGTTGGTTACAGCTGCCCTGCCCTATAAAAAACACACACCAGTTCTGGGTTTGCTTTTCACAAGAAGCCTGATGTGAATGATGCCTCGCACAAAAGAGCTCTCAGAAGACCTACGATTAAGAATTGTTGACTTGCATAAAGCTGTAAAAGGGTTATAAATGTATCTCCAAAAGCCTTGCTGTTCATCAGTCCACGGTAAGACAAATTGTCTATAAATGGAGAAAGTTCAGCACTGCTGCTACTCTCCCTAGGAGTAGCCGTCCTGTAAAGATGGCTGCAAGAGCACAGCGCAGACTGCTCAATGAGGTGAAGAAGAATGCTAGAGTGTCAGCTAAAGACTTAAAAAAGTCACTGGCAAATGCTAACATCCCTGTTAGCGAATCTATAATACGTAAAATACTAAACAAGAATGGATTTCATGGAAGGATACCACAGAGGAAGCCACTTCTGTCCAAACAAAACATTGCTGCACGTACTGGCAAAATATTCTGTGGACAGATGAAACCAAAGTTGAGTTGTTTGGAAGAAACACACAACACTATGTGTGGTGAAAAAAAGGCACAGCACACCAACATCAAAACCTCATCCCAACTGTGAAGTATGGTGGTGGGGGCATCATGGTTTGGGGCTGCTTTGCTACGTCTGGGCCTGGACGGATTGCTATCACCATCAAGACATGTTGCAGGAGAACTTAAGGCCATCTGTCTACCAGCTGAAGCTCAATAGAAGATGGATGTTGCAAGAGAACAATGACCCAAAGCATAGAAGTAAATCAACAACAGAATGGCTTAAACAGAAGAAAATACGCCTTCTGAAGTGGCCCAGTCAGAGTCCTGACCTCAACCCGATTGAGATGCTGTGGCATGACCTCAAGAAAGCGATTCATACCATACATTCCAAGAATATTGCTGAACTGAAACAGTTCTGTAAAGAGCAATGGTCAAGAATTACTACTGACTAGTGATGTCCCGAACGGTTCGCCGAATGGTTCGCCGAATGGTTCGCCACAGACGGCAAACATAAACATAAACTTTGACCCTGTACCTCATAGTCAGCAGACACATTCCAGCCAATCAGCAGCAGACCCTCCCTCCCAGACCCTCCCACCTCCTGGACAGCATCCATTTTACATTCATTGTGAAGCTGTATTCTTAGTGAGCTGTCCAGGAGGTGGGAGGGTCTGGGAAGGAGGGTCTGCTGCTGATTTGCTGGAATGTGTCTGCTGACTGTGAGGTACAGGGTCAAAGTTTATGTTTATGTTCGCCATCCGTGGCGAACCGTTCGGTGAACCGTTCGGCGAACCGTTCGGGACATCACTATTCCTGACCGTTGTGCACGTCTGATCTACAACTACAGGAAACGTTTGGTTGAAGTTATTGCTACCAAAGGAGGTTCAATCAGTTATTAAATCCAAGGGTTCACATACTTTTTCTACCTGCACTGTGAATGTTTACATGGTGTGTTCAATAAAAACATGGAAACATTTCATTCTTTGTGTGTTATTAGTTTAAGCAGACAGTGATTGTCTATTGTTGTGACTTAGATGATGATCAGATCACATTTTATGACCAATTTGTGCAGAAGTCCATATCATTCCAAAGGGTTCACATACTTTTTCTTGCAACTGTATGTTGTTGCTGTTGATCCAAAAGAAGGCAAAAAACCTAGTCTAAAGCGCTTCCAATTTTGCCACAAACTAGGAAAAAATTCCTTCTTGACCCCAAAATAGCAGTCAGATGTCTCCTTGGATCAAGCAGCTATTACCCCACTCATTATAATTTATATCCCTGTATGTTATGTTTTTGTAAGTATTTATCCAATTGCAGTTTAAACCTCTGTAGTGACTCTGACAAAACCACCTCTTCAGGCAGAGAATTCCGTATCCTTATTGCTCTTACTGTATAAAAACCTTTTCTTTGCCATAGATGAAATCTATTTTCTTCCAGCCTAAATGTGTGAACTATGTATAGTCCTGTTTATGAATAGATTTCCAGATAATGGTTTGTACTGGTGCCGAATATATTTGTATAAAGTTATCATAACCCCTCTCAGGAGCCGTTTTTCCAAACTAAACAGATTTAATTTTTTTAACCTTTCTTCATAACTTAAATGCTCCATTCCTTTTATCAATTTTGTAGCTGGTCTCCGGACCTTTTCTAGTGCCATTATGTCTTTCTTTAGAACAGGCGCCCAAAATTGCACAGCATATTTAAGGTGTGGTCTAATAAAGAGGCAAAATTATATTTTCATCCTGAGAATTTATGCCCCTATTTATACATGACAAAACTTTACTGGCTTTAGCAACTGCAGATTGACATTACATATTGCTGCCTAATTTGTTGTCTATAACAATTCCCAAATCCTTCTTGTGTGTGGTTATCCCTAATTCACTACCATTTAGTGTGTAAGTTGCTTGTGCATTCTCAACCCCGAAGTGCATTTGCATTTCTCTACGTTAAATTTAATCTGCCATTTTAGTGCCCAGTCCCCCAATCTATCCAAATCCCTCTGCAGCAAAGCAATATCCTGCTCACATTTTATTACTTTACAAGGTTTTGAGTCATCTGCAAACACTGATACAGGGCTTTCAATGCCTATTTCAAGTTCATTTATAAATGTGTTAAATAGAAGTGGTCCGAAAACAGAACCCGGAAGGACACCACTTACCATTTTTGTCCAGCCTGAAAATTTACCATTAATTACAACTCATTGTACTCTATCCTTAAGCCAATGTTCTACCCAAGAACAAAAATATTCATCTAGATCAATTTCTTTTAGTTTGAAGACTAACATATTGTGAGGAACCATATCAAATGCCTTGGCAAAATCCAAGTAGATCACATCCACTGCAACACCCTGATCTATACTTCTACTTAGAATGCAATTAGGTTAGTTTGACATGACCTATGTTTCATAAAACCATGCTGATTATTGCTAATAACAAAGTTCTTCCCAATGAATTCCTGAATATTATCCCTTAATAGCCCTTCAAATATTTTCCTAGTTACAGAAGTTAAGCTCACAGGTCTATAATTTCCAGGCAAGGATTTTGAACCATTTTTAAATATAGGAACACCATCTGCCTTCCTCCAATCCTCCGGTACAACACCTGAAACAAAAGAATATTGAAAAATTAAATACAGAGGTTCACTTATTTCCCCACTTATCTCCTTAAGTACTCGTGAGTGAATACCATCAGGCCCCAGAGCTTTATTTACATTAATTTTCTTTAATAGCTGTAGCACCTTGTCTCGAGTTATCCAATCACAAGTTATTTGCAAGTTTTTTGCAGCAATCATTTGCATATCTCTTGCCATAGGATCCTCATTAATATATACTGAAGAAAAATAGTTAGTTAAAAATTTTGCTTTTTCCTGGTCTTCATTAGCTAATAAACCTAACTCTGTTTCCAGTGTACCTACACTTTAATTTTTTGTTTTTTTTTAGAATTGATGTACTTGAAAAACATTTTGGGGTTGGTTTTGCATTCTTTAGCTATCAATTTCTCATTTTCTAGTTTAGCCACTTTAATTGCCTTTTTGCAAGCGTTATTGGCTTCCTTATATCTTAAATAGGATGCCATTGATTTATCTGATTTAAATGCTTTAAATGCCCTTATGTTATTTTTAATCTCTTGTTTTACTTCTCTACTAAAGCCACATTGGTTTTAATTTGTTTCTTTTATATTTATTACCCAATGGTACATACTGAGGAATGTACCTTTCTAATATTTGTTTGAATAGTTTCCATTTATCCTCAGTGTTTTTATCACTAAGGAGTTTATGCCAGTCGATATGTTGTAGAGCTGCCCTAATCTTATTGAAATTGGCTTTTTTAAAATTATATGTTTTAGTATAACCCACTTGTTCTTGCTTTTTTGAGTTTATTTCAAAATTTACCATATTGTGATCACTAATGCTCCCCTACTTGAATATTGATCAACATTGATTGTTATGACGAGATCCAGACAAGCATCCTTTCTAGTTGGTGCTTGTACCAGTTGTGAAATAAAGGTGTCATTTAACACATAAAAAAACCCTTGCTGAAGTACTAGTCCCTCTATCCCAATTTATGTCTGGGTAATTAAAATCTCCAATAATTAACGTGTTACCTTGATTTGCAGCTTTCTCAATTTGCTCTAACAGCTGTTCTTCCTTAATAATATTTACATTAGGTGGTTTATGACATATCCCAACCAAAAATTGATTTCCCTTTGTTTGCACCAAGCAGATATCTACACACAAAGCCTTCACATTTTCCTCGTCACACTCCACATGCCTAAGATTTGACTTTAACTAATGGTTGACATATAAACATACCCCACCACCCTTCTTGTTTTTCCTATCCTTCCTAAATAACGTGTACCCATTTAAATTAACTGCCCAGTCATGTGTCTCATCCCATCATGTTTCTGTTATGCCTATTATATCATATTGTTTAGTGTATGCTATTTCCTCTAGGTCCCCCATTTTGTTATATAGGCTCCTTGCATTAGTAAGCATACATTTAATATTATCATGAGTCTTTTGTACTTTTTGTGAAGTATCAATATTACATACCTCCTCTGTTCTGAGCTTTCCCCTCCCCCCATCTCCACACCCTTTGTTCTGAGCTAAAGCCCATCTCCTTTCCACCCTATCTCCATTTTCTAGATTGCTTTGACCCTCCCCCCACCACTAGTTTAAAATCTCCTCCAACCTTCTAGCCATCCTATCCCCCAGCACAGCAGAACCTCTTCCGTTTAGGTGCAATTCATCATGACTATACAGGTTGTACCCAAGCGCAAAATCGGCCCAGTGCTCTAAAAACCCAAAACCCTCTTTCCTGCACCAAGACTTTAGCCACGCATTGACCTCTCTAATCTCCCTCTGCCTTTCTGCTGTAGCGCACGGCACAGGTAATATTTCTAAAATATAAAATAATTTCTGTATATAATTGTAAACAAATTTCATTTACAATAGCTGCCCAGACAGCAGAGCCAATTCTATCAGAATGCCAGCTTTACTGAGACCCCCTGCAGCTGCATAAGCAACTGGAGAGATGTAAAATCTCCCAGCCTGACCCTGTGCCCTCTGTCATTGATCCTTCCCAGACAGATTGCTGCAGATGATCCCTCCTGGTCAGAGACCAGTAGGGGAATACAAAGGTCTGCACCAAGTGCAGATCTGCATGGCAGCACACCGGACCTCCTGGGACCACCAGGAATGAACAAAGTAAAGCCACCATTACTGTAGAAAAGGTAAGCAGGAGATATACAAAATGTGGAAAAACAAAAACCTGAGCAGCACTGTGTGAGAAGGCTAGATGGAGAAACACAGCCTCTTTACATACCCCCTAACTCACCTTGTAAGCACAGCATTATAAATACAACACACACATTGAGACCACAAACAGCAACCCATAAACAAAAAAAACACTGCAAGTTGGGCCCCCCCCACACACATTTTCTCCCAAACAGAGATATATATGGTCACAGACATTGAGATGCACAGATACACACAGACAGAAATATGCATTAGTCACGGATACACATACACACAGATACACAAGAATACTCACTGTCAGACACACACTCTTAGGCACATGCACACTAACATAGTGCCAGGCATGCACACACAGGTAGGTTGCAATATACAATGCCAGGCACACTGCATTTGTGTGTCTGTATCTATCTGTATTTTTAAAATCAAACAGCCCATGTGTTGTTACTAGGGGACTTCACATATTTAACTGTGCTGTTAATGGTTATGTTTGTCCAGAGAAATCAGTACTTTATTATGCAAATTTGACTTCATAAATCATTAGTAATGCTTGAGATTACATTTGTAGAATACACATACACAACAAACGGAAAGGGTAAAATAGTTGAATTAAACACTAGCTAGTCTTAGTAGTGTTAAATAAAACATATACACAGCATGAGAAACAAAAAAAACAATTGTTGATAATTACCTTGCATGTAAAAAATATAATTGTATTATATTGATATTAATACTACAATAGTTTTTAGTGAGAATGTTATTCATAAACTCTTTAAAAAAAAAAAAATATATATATGATCTTGAAGACAGCATTGAAAGTCATGTTTCAGTGTTTGCACATGACACAAAACTCTGTAAAATAATACAATGTGAGCAAGATATTACTTTGCTGCAGAGGGATTTAGATAGACTAGGGGACTGGGCACTCAAATGGCAGATGAAATTTAATGCTGAAAAATGCAAAGTTATGCACTTCGGCGTAAAGAATACACAAGCAACGTATACACTTAATGGAAGCGAATTAGGGATAACACACGAAAAGGACTTGGGAATTGTTATAGAAAACAAACTATGCAACAATGTGCAATGTCAATTAGCAGTGGCCAAGGCCAGTAAGGTATTGTCATGCATGAAAAAAGTCATTCATTCTTGGCACAAGAATATAATTTTGCCTCTTTATAAATCTTGGTAAGACCACATATTGAATATGCTGTGCAATTTTGGGCACCTGTTCTAAAGAAGGATATTATGGCACTAGAAAAAAGTGCAGAGGTGGGCTACAAAATTAATAAAAGGAATGGAACATATCAGCTATGAAGAAAGGTTAACAAATTTAAACCTATTTAGTTTAGAAAACGTCACCTGAGAGGGGATATGATAACATTATACAAATATATTTGGGGTCAATACAAACCATTGCGTGGAAATTTATTCACAAACCAGACTTTACATAGGACACAAGGCCATGCGTTTAGACTGGAAGAAAGAAGATTTTGTCTAAGGCAAAGGAAAGGTTTTTTTAAGAACAATAAGGATGTGGAATTCTCTGTCTGAAGAAGTGGTTTTATCAGCGTCCATACAGATGTTCAAACAGCTACTAGATGCATACTTGCAAAAACAGAATATTCGAGGATATAATCTTTCAATCTAGGGTAATAACTGCTTGATCCAAGGATAAATCTGACTGCAATTCTGGGGTCAAGAAGGATTTTTTTTCCTTGCTTGTTGCAAAATTGTGCTTCAAACTCAGTTTTTTTGCCTTCTTTTGGATTAACAGCAAAAAACAAATGTGAGGTAGGCTGAACATGCTGGACGCAAGTCTCTTTTCAGCTATGTAACTATGTAACTATGTAATATGTGTACTAGCTATACAGAACAACTAAACTAAACATCAATTTAGTAAAATGTCTATTTTCCAGTAGTGAGATAAATATGTAAGCTACAAATAAGCATGAATGAAATATCCATGGCTATATATATATATATATATATATATATATATATATTTTTTTTTCTGCTTTATTCTTTTTACAAGTTGCTTATTCAAGGTAACAAATAATTTTAAAACAGTTAAAGAAAAAAAAATACTTGTATTTTAAGTGTACTGTCATCCATCTACATTATTAGCCAGTCTCCTAACCCAATACTGCCTGGTAAAATTTACAATGAGCATTATTTGTGATTTAGAAAACAGGAATACATTGACTTTAAGCTGAAGAAAAATACTGCACAGTTTAGCAAAAGATTTATCTTCATTATGGTTCCTGTTTTGTCAACTCTCATTTGTATAAAATGTGCACATTAACCAAAATACAGAAATCCCAGTCTGATGTGATTACTGAGAAGATTAACATAAATGGTATCTATAGATTGTTAACTACTTGAAATATAAAGTCAAGTTTATGTGAATGTATTAATTTATGCGTCTGTCGAACACATATTTCAATAAACAAATATTCAACTTTTATTTTAAAAATGTTAAAAGCACATCTAAAAGCACTTATAGTCTAATTAAATTAACACTTAAATTAGACTTGGAAATTTGTTTCAGCCCAAACTACAATTTGGGTCGGTCAGGTGATGGGTAGAATTCCTGAACTGCGATCCAAATCACAAATTAACTAATGAAACAAAGAAGCACAGGGCGCCACAATCACTATATGAATACTAGGTAGGGGTAAAAAGAAGGAAAAAATGAGATCAAGAAGAAAAATAAAGTAGACAAGAATTTATTACATAAAAAATCCACAATATATAGCACAAAACATGTGCAATGAAAATATATATATAAAGGCCACAATGGGCCAGAGACCCATAGGTATAGCAGCTTAGCACAATAGATACTGGACTAGATACATAAAGTGCAAATGCAAAAAGTGCAAATAGAAATAAAGTGCACAAATTGAACCACTTGGTCATCCAGGTATACACACAGTATTGCACAATAGATAAAAGGCTCAGATGATAAAATGAGTACTTAGTGGTCAAAATTAGTGATGTCGCGAACCCGAAATTTTCGGTTCGCGAACGGCGAACGCGAACTTCCGCAAATGTTCGCGAACCGGCGAACCGCCCGAAACGCCATTGACTTCAATGGGGAGGCGAATTTTAAAACACACAGGGACTCTTTCTGGCCACAATAGGGATGGAAAAGTTGTTTCAAGGGGACTAACACCTGGACTGTGGCATGCCGGAGGGGGATCCATGGCAAAACTCCCATGGAAAATTACACAGTTGATACAGAGTCTGGTTTTAATCCATAAAGGGCAGAAATCACCTAACATTCCTAAATCACAATGAATATGGATTGACACCTGACATATGACATTGACACCTTGACATATGGATTGACACCTGTCCTCAGAGCCCCTGATGCACACGGACACAGAGCAGAATAGAGACTGGTCCCCCTACATAGGGTCACTTGGCAGATATGGATTGACACCTGTCCTAAGGATCCCTGATACACACTGACACAGAGCAGAATAGGGACTGTTCCCCCTACATCGGGTCACTTGGCAGATATGGATTGACACCTGTCCTAAGGTTCCCTGGTACACACTGACACAGAGCAGAATAGGGACTGGTCCCCTACATCGGGTCACTTGGCAGATATGGATTGACACCTTGTTACAAACTGCTATTTGTAACGGGCCCTTTAAATGGCAAATTGCCCTGCTTCCCTGGGTTGTGGAGAAGCCTATTTGCCAGCCTCCTCCCGCATGACTATGGCCCCTGGGAGATTGTGAAAATGTATGCACTTTTATTTGGTGTGTATGGCCCTTTAAGACTGTCGGTGGGCATATTGGGGCTTATGGACTCTTTATGTGACTGGTGCTGGCCCTTTAAACACCTTTTTTGGGACATCAGGAAGATTGGGACACTGCCCCTTTAAGGCCGTGTCCCCAGACTTGTTGGGGACACGGCCCCTTTAAGACGGTGTCCCCTGTGTCCCCAGACCTGGTGCAAACCCTTTGTGCCTGCCTTGCTATTTCCCACTTGGTTCAGTAAATGGGAAATTATTTCAGCTGCAGAGACTAAGTCCCATTCGGCGATGGGACTTAGTCTTTTTTTCAGCCTGAAATAGACCGACCTCACAGCCCAAATCTATGGAACTGTTTTGGGCAGGAAAATGTGCTTGCGGTCGGTCATAAAGGGACCTCCAGCTAACTTTTTAACCCCTGGATGGATTTGGCTGATTTTTGGTTATGTTTATGTTTTAAGTGTGCTGATTCCAAA